ATCATTATTTCTTCAAATAGCTCTTCAACTTCTTGTTCTTCTTCAGGTACCCCTATGACACACATTTTTACATTTAATTATATCCCATAGGCTTCTTAAATTATTATTATAGTCGTGGCTTCTTTTTTCTTGCCGTTCTCACTGGATGTCCCTGGCTTCCCCATCCTCTATGTTGGTGGTTCGATCTTCTTCTTTATCCACTCTGTTGATTCCCTCTAATATACTCTTCATTTCAGATAATGTGTTCTTCATTTCTGACTGGTTCCCTTTTATAATTTCCATTTCCATTTTTATGTTCCTTTTATCTCTTTGTTAAAGTTCTCACTGAATTCATCAACGCTTCCCCTAAGTTCACTAAGCATATTTATAACTAGTGTTTTTATCTGCATCTGTTTGATTGCTTGACTCCATTATTCCTGGATCTCTGTTCTGTTCTCTCATATGTTTTCTGCTTCTTTGTCTTCCCATTTTGGCTGCCTTTCTATGTCTGTTTCTATATACTAAGTGAAGCTTCTAAGTCTCCTATTCTTATTAGCATGGCTTTGTGTAGTAGGTGTCCAGTGGCACAGTTCTAAGAGGGGTTCAGCTATAGGCCAAGTTTAGCTCCAGCCTGTGCCCTTCCAGAGCCACCTGTTAGGATTCAGCAAGCAATCTACAGATACAGTGCTTATAGTTCCCTCAGGAAACCACACCAGAAACTGAAGCCTGCTGTCACCAGGGTAAATCTTGGCGCTGCTCAGCAAGGAGCACCAGACTTGCTGAGGACACATCTGGATGTGGCTTGGATGGAGCTTTGAGATGGGGGAGGCGGATTTTCAGGGGATCCTCTGGGCAGAGTGACCTCTGTTATCCAGTTCGATGATGATTATGTCTCAGCTATGGCAGCACTGAGTCTGCAACCTGAGAAGGGGGAAGACTCAACAGAGGAACAATGGAGACCACTGGCACCTCTGCCCAGGAGAGATCTTCGTCTCTGGCCCTCACTTCGATAACTCAGTGTCCCTCTGTAAGTCCCTGGTGCCCCCACCCAGCAGCTGACCAGGTGCTGGTGCTCAGAGCAGGTCCGTCACCACCAAAGTCCACTTGTGGACCCAACCCCTTTAAGAGATGTCTGCAGCCCCTGGCTGCTATAGCTTCTGTCCTTCTCAGCCGCTTGGGACCAGCCGCTTGGGACCGGCTGCTTGGGACCGGGCAGCCTCACATCTTTGCCCTCTCCTACCTTCTAGTGTTGCAGGTTGATTAATTATTTCTCTCCCTAGTTGCAGTGCTTCATTCATCTAGATACCAGGCAACTTTCCTTGCTGTTTGCCCCATGTTTCTGTCACAACTTTGATTTGGTCACAAGAGGGATGAACAAAGCCTCTATCATCTACACCATTTTTTCCCATCTCATTTAAAATTTTTATCATTTACAGAGAGTTATTGTTTTGCTCTGATACTTTTGCAAATGTTTCATCTTCAGAAAGATCCATAGAGAGGACTGTGACTTATTCTAAAATATAGGTTTCGGAGAATAAACTTACAAGCCATTCCTTTAAACTGGATGAAGATTTGCAAAACTCGCTTTTAAGGTTCACAGCAGTCTTTCCAGGTATGTAAAAAAGGCCACTTTGCAGATGCAGAGAACCTCAGGATATTTGGAGGATCTGGATTAACCCCTAAGGCCTCTGGATCCAGTGGGTAGCCAGGGGAGCATCTATGTCCTTATCAGTGTTTGTCTGCTGGTCCTACTTCTCACACACTCAGAGACATGCCAGGCCTGGACTCCCATGCAGTGGAGGCTGTTGGTTGAATCTTCTTCCCAGGGAACCCACCAAAAGAAATATTCTTGTGAAGTAGGTGCAGCTCAGCACCACTAGCTTTGCCTGCTCCTGAGCAGCTAACAGCTGAAAGTGGATGTATTTTTCTTTTAAAGGTTCTTTATATATTCTAGGTACTAGTCTTTTGTCAGATACATGGTTTATAAATTTTTTTTAATTCTATATCTTGTCTTTTCATCTTCACAATAAAAGCTTTTATAGAGCAAATTTTTTTCATTTTGAATAAGTCCACTTTTTCAATTTTTTCTTCTGTGGGTGGTGCTTTTGATATTAAGTCTAAGAACTCTTAGCCCTAGATACCAAAGATTTTCTCCTATTTTTCCTAAAAGTTTTATAATTTTATAAAGTTGAAAAAAATACATCATTAAACCTAAATATGTGATCCATTTTGAGTGAATTTTTGCATAAGATGTGAGGTTTAGTTTGAGGTTTACTTCTTAACCAATGGATGTACAATTGATCCAGCACCTTTTTTTTTTTTTTAAAAAAAAAGCCTTTAAACTATTGAATTCTTTCTACAACTTTGTCAAAAATTAGTTGAGCATATTTATGTGGGTCAATGTATAAGTTCTCTATTCTGTCCCATTGATCTGTGTGTCATCTCTCTGCCAATAGCACATAGCCTTGATCACTGTGTAAGTCTTGAAATCAGGTATTGGTTCCTCCACTTTATTCTTCTTTTTAACTGCTTTAGCTATTCTACTTCCTTTACCTTTCCAAGTAAATTTTACAATACTCTTGTCTATATCTACAAAGAATTTTTCTGGGATTTTGATAGAAATTGTATTGACTATATATCAATTTGGGGAGAATAGATACCTTTACTGTGTTGAGTTTTCTAATCCAGAGACCCCTAACTCCGGGCCACAGACTGGTATCGGTCCATGGCCTGTTAGGAATCGGGCTACACAGCAGGAAGTGAGGAGCCAGCGAGCGAGCGAAGCTTCATCTGTGTTTGTAGCCGTTCCCCAGCGCTAATCACCACCTCAGCTCCACCTAAGATCATCAGGCATTAGATTCTCATAGGAATATCTGTCCCTGGTGGCAAAAAGGTTGGGGACCGCTATAATCTAATCCATGAACATGATGTGTCTCTCTGTTTATTTAGATCTTTGCTTTATTTTATTGATATTTTGTGTCAGCAAAAGTTAATACATGTTTCATTAGACTTATATTTAAATATTTCAGTTTTTGAGTGATTATAAATGGTATTGATGTTTTATTTTAGTGTCCTTGTGTTTACTGCTCATATGTAGAAAGAAAATTGGCTGTTGTCTGTTTATTTTATATCCTGTGACCTTGCTGAATTCATTTATTAGTTCTAGGTGGATTTTTTTTGTAGATACCATTGGATTTTGTACCTAGAAATTTATGTCATTTTCAAATGGGAACAGTTTTATTTCTTTCTTTCTGATCTGTTTGTTTTTATTTCCTTTTTCTTGCCTTATTGCATTAGCTTGAACTTCCAATACAAAGCCGAATAAGAATGGTAAGAGCAGACATCTTTACCTTGTTCTCAGTCTTAGGAGAAAAGCATTCAGTCTTTTACCATTAAGTATGATGTTAACTGTAGGGTTTTTGTTTTGTTTTGTTTTGTTTTGTTTTGTAGATGTCCTTTATTAAGTTGAGGAAGTCCTCATTTATTCCTAGTTTTCTATGAGGTTTTATCACGAATGTGTATTCTGTATCATCACATGCTTTTTTTCTATCAGTTGATATAATCGTGATTTTTCTACTTTAGCCTGTTGATATGATAGTTGATTAATTTTTGGTAATTGATTAATTTTTGAGTATTCAGTCAGCTTATATCCCTGATATAAACCCTACTTATACTTTTGTAAATAGTTATTTTATTAAACTCTCAATTAATGACTTTTTAAATGTACCATCTGCTTCCTGCTAGGACTTAATGCTCGCAGATCATCATCTTAGGTGAATCATTAAAAAAAGGACCTAAACTTTATTTCCTACAACTAGGAATAGATGATGATAGCATTTCGTTAAAAGATAGATTTCTGAATTTCAAACTGAACAATTTCCTTCTTCCACTGATGAAAGGAAATTCACCTTTTTACTTATGTGGAGGGTTTTCAGTGGCGATGTAGGACTGTCCGGCTATAAAGGCTGCCTTAGAGTTGGAAACTTGGCTATAATATTTTAATGATGGTATACATACACATTTGAGTTTTAAAAATATAGAAAAGAACAATGGTACACATATTTCAATTGAAGCTGGATTTTTTGACAATAGAGAAGGTGAAAAGAAATCTATAAATATTTCAGTGCATATGAACTTTTTTCTAGTACACTCCTGATCATGCAGCAGGGATACCTTTGGAGGAGCAAGAGATTTAAAAATAATATAAAAATAATTTAGTTTGTTTAATAAATGACCTTCCCTTTGGTATTACTTTCTAAGAATTTTTTTTGCTAATCCACATTCCAAATAGCCAGGAGCAGAATATTGTAGTTTCCAATGATCATTTGTTCAGATCACCATTTGTTTTGGGAGTGTTAATTAACATTTTCTTTTGAAAACTGAGTTGGGAAACTGCTGTATTATATGACCTAATCAATGATTATGGGACAGTTTAAAAAAATTCTGGTGCTTTCTTATTCGAAGTTCTATCTGAAATGAGATTTAATATTTAAATCTCACTTTCCCAATTTTCTATTTTTCAAGACTAAATTAATTCTATGTACTTAAGGAAAATATAAAGCTAAATGGGTAAAGAGAATTATGATAGATAAATGTGCTTTTCAAATTTATCCAGCATAATTGGGCTGGTTTTTTAATTTGCAAAAGAAAAACCCACATACGTTTATTACTCTGCCATTCCTTGGAAAAGTCAACCTGGATTATTATAATGTAAAAAAAGAATTTTGAGTTAAAAGGGTGTTAAATTTTAACTTTGGCCCTAAAATGATAGATATCAGATACCAAAATTAGGTGATAAACCAAAATGCGTATTTTCAAAGTACATGTCCAGGAACCAGTTAGACAACTGACCTATAATAAAGACATAAGACTTGATGGCATAGAGTAAGGGTTGGCAAACTTTTTCTGTAAAGAACAAGATAGTAAATAATTTAGGTTTGTGGGCTATAAGGTTTCTGATGCAACTATTTTATTCTTGTTGCAGTGCAAAAGCAGCCAAAGCCAGTACTTAAACAAATTAGTGTGGCTGTGTTTCAATAAAACTTTATTTGAAAGACAAGCTGGATGTGGTCTACAGGCTGTAGTTTGCCCTCTGCTGGGACTGAGGAAGACAGGGTTTATTAAGAGCCTCTTTTGGCAAAAGTTCTCCCAACCACCATGAGAATCTCATCTTGAGCCTAGAGAGCAGGGCTGGCAAGGGCAGAAGGGAACTGTCTACAAGAAGTTTACTTGGAGTTCTTGACCTGTGTCCTCCTGACTTTGTGGGGCATGTTGTTCCCAAGACTGGAAATTTGTTGTACTTCCTACCAATGGTAGAGCAAATATCCATGAATGTTTCCCATGCACCCAAGGAGGTCATGGGAGAAAGAGAGTACCTGCTTAAACTGGCTTGATTTGAGTTTAAAAGAATCACGTGGGGAAAGCAAGAGGAATCCAACAGATCATTTTGTGTAGAGGAGACTGAAACCTGGGGCAGAGAGGGAAGTGGCCCCATAGGGAAATGTGGCTGGATATTCTCATTTTCTAAATTGAAACTACTGTGTTTGGCCAGAGGATTTTTTTTTTTTTAAACCAAGAGATAGCTGGTCAGTTATGGAACTGAAATTTCATGCAGGAGCAAGGGAAAAACCTCTCCCAGGGAAAAGTTTGAATGTAATTGTGAAGACAAAAACAAACTGCATTTTTTGTTTTAGAAATTTTAACAGAAAATTTCAAAAGCACAGGAAAAGAGTATAATGAACTCCCATGTATGCATCACGCAGCCATTGTTAGCGCAGGTCCAGTCTTCTTGCAGCTATTCTGCATCTCTACTTTCCTTTCACCATCCCCATACTCCAAACATGGAATTACTTTGAAGCATAACCAACATCTGTATTTTCTTTCAACTGGAAGAAACATCAAGAGGCTTGATCAGATTCAGGTTCAATTATTTGGCAAGATCTGCTGACTTCTATGACTCTGACCTTCAGAGAACTTGTTGGTTCTCTGCTTTGAAAGATTCTTGAGTGCGTGGTACATTTCTGGTCTGCTCGGTAAGAATAAATGTTGCTCCTCAGTTTGAGAAGATTTTGCTTTTTTTGTGAAATTATTTTCCAGATTTTGTAATGTCTTAAAATCATAACTATTTTTTCCTATTCTGCAAAATTTTTACAATTGACAGGAAAGTCCTTCTGGAAGTTCCTCTCTTCCTCAGTCCATGACTTGATTGAGTAATTGGGGAAACTAGTGCGGGTCTGTGTGGCAGATATATTACATTCACCTCTCTTAATTCCATACATAGCTCCTTTTTTTATCTTGTCCTTGATGGTGTTTTTCAAATAAAGGAAGGTATTTGATACTTTCCATATTTCTCATTCCTTCCTTTTCACTACAGTCTGTGTAGGACTCATAACATACGTAAGAGGAAATTTAAAGTATAGATTTTGGGTCAAAAAAAATTAGGTGGTACCAAGACTACATTCTTGTAGAGAGAAGATCAAGATCAGGCTCTTAAATAACCTCAATGTCATAAGCAAGTGGGCCTCCAATGGAAAATCCCATGTAAAAAGATACTTTTTCTATGCTTCTGCCACTTCTTAATTGACCCAAGAAAGCAGGTAAGATGCGTATTGTGATTTTTTCATTGATTCCATATTCTATGTATACACAATTATTTTCAGCTCGTCCCTTTAAACGAAGCAAAAGTTCTTGGACTTTTTTCTCCTTCCATACCTCTCCACTCTGCCACAAGAAATTAATGTCAGGTGTCTTTCCAAAGCATTGATCAATTTTCCCTTTGTGAACAAGTCTGTTCATATTGTTACCTTTCCCAAGAAAGAAATATGCAATTGGTTGCTTTGTCCGATACATATGTTTATATTGCCCCCTAAAAGAATTTTCGAGTGATCGAGCATACTTTTCCATTTGTTTAGAATCTTGGTCTAGTTGTTGGTTTTCTGGCCAGAATAAGAGGGAAGCTAGGAAGTAAGGTTCTGAAAACTGATAAGTCGGTCCTACTTGTTGTAAGAATTCTCGGAGCTGAGCTTTCAGTTTTTTAATTGGATTCACTATTTTGGAGGTAGGTTTAATACAGTAGAGAATGATGTTGGCTAAGATGAAATTTTGCTTTTCCTTTGGCACGATTCTGACAGTGCATTGTTCGAAGATAAAAGTATATTTGCTCACTATATCTTCCATGGTACTAATGGCATCTTCTTGACTTTTGATGAGATATTCCAAGAGCCCAGAAAACCTGTCTGCTTTTAAAACTTCTAGTCTTCTCCGATACAGCTCTACTTGAAGTGGCAAACTAAGTTTTGATTTGAGATCTTTGTTTTGTAATTCCTCTAAGGGACCAAATATATCTGCATACTTCTTAAAATATCCAGCCACCTTTCTCCGAGTTTTGTTCTCTTCATTTTGCTTAATGTTGTTCCTGGGTTTTAGAAGGACAAAATAGTCATCAAAAAAATCAAAGGACTTTTTCAAAGAAAATTGCAAATTAGTTAGATAAGGAATAAAGTTCTTGAGGGCTGATTTAAATTCATTGTTTGAATCCCCAGGAATATCACTACTTCCTGATATAAAATTAATCATATCTCTTTTAGATAGTTCATTTTTGTTGTCAAAAAAAGGAATGAGCTGGAGAATCTGAATTGTGTACAGCCCAACTTCTATCTCCCCTTGATAACCAGCAATATTATAAGTATCATATCGCCTTTTTGACTTCTGATAAAACCTTTCCGTCACTTCATCCTCTCTATCTTCACTTTGCTGTTGAGATTCTTTGAATGCATTTGAGGCATGTACTGCTAAATCCAAAAGTTCAGTTAAATTATCAACCGAAATGTTCCTGTTTTTTCCATTATCCTCTATCCACCATCTTATTTTACTTTTGTAGACTTGACCCATTGTATCCGAGATATAGGAATTGCTAGGTTCTATGTTTTTTGCTTGAGTTGCCCATTTTAGGGCATTGGTGTAGTCCTTCTCTTTAATGTAGAAATGTCTTGCCAGCGCTTGGCAAATGAATGCATTTGGGTTGAACCGATGAATACCTTCAAGCAATACTTTTTTAACTGCTTCATTCCCTTCTTCTTTATGTAATGCTTCAATGAATGGGGAAAACCAAGTTCCTGTTTCACCTTCATGTTCATTGCGCTGTCTTGTGAGCAGCAGTGTTTGCATATCTTGAAAAAATTTGCTTCTTCCTATACTCGGATCATAGAACAAATTTTCTGTTAGCAAATCCAGCATAATTTGACTTTTATCCAAGTGATAGCTTATCTTCAATTCTTCCAGTGAACGAGCAGCAATCAGAGGGTGAATAATCCGCACTCCCTTGTAGTTTCCACATTCCACCACCTCTGTTTTTATCAGAATTGTAGAGTAGGTGCCCATCTTATCTTCAAATTTTTCTGGTCCCCAGAAAGCTTTCTTGTTTGTGATTCCTAAGAAAGTTTCACACTGTGATAGTGAAATGGTGGTATTGGGCACATATGAATTAAGAAGAGCCAGAAAAGAAAAGAGCTTTGCTTCCTTGGTGGAAATAATTTGTCCCTTCAGGATATTCCTGACCACATTTTCTATGTACTTTTCATTAAAATTGGTTTTCATGATCATGAAGGAATAAAAATCTTTAAAGTTTTTATGTTGCTCTTCAATTTCTTTCAATTTAAGCTCGAAGGCCCTCTGTTCTTTGGAAGATAGTTGTTGTATTAGGGCGATACTATCTGACATCTTTGCACATTTTTCAGGATTCTGTGATCTTATGCAATTTAGGATGATCACTAGGGGTTTCTCATATCGAATGCACTTATTAGCTACAGCTGTTTGAATAGAGGCCTGCAGAAGATAGACATTATCTTGTTCTTCAAAATCATCAACAAGGAGCAGTACAGGTAAATATTCCTGATGGTTTATTGTCCCATAGGTGATTAAATCAGTCACTTGTTTTCCAATGTCAGAAAAATCCACTGTCTTGTTTTTCAGCACGGCACATCTGAATTTCTTCCTTAGTTCCCAGAGAATGTGCATAGCCAAGGTAGTCCCACCACAGCCTGGATGATGATACAAATGAATAATTTTGACACTTGTTGGCTTAGAAGAATCTGCCCAGTTTTGAATCATTGCTTCAAGTCTTTCATATTTATCCCTTTTGACAAAAGGTGAAGAATAGTTTTCAGAAGAAAAGTAGAAGTTCCACCATGATACTTTACCACCTCGATAGAAGTCTTCCTCTTTTGATGCCTTGAATTCAAGAAATTTATCTTTGTCCTTCTCTAAGAGTGTACCTTCACATTCATTTTCACACAGAATTTCCAGAGCGGTCATGATATCTTCTTCCCTTTTCAGAAGGACAGTAGATGAGCCAATAGATGGCAAAAATCGCTTTAAAGATTTAGTCACAGATTTTAGTTTAAGAATAGTGCCATTTATCTCTTCAAGATTTAAAGCAGAAATACATTGACTTGATAATTCATCTTGTTGTTTTGTTAATCTTGCTTCAAGCAGATCTTTCCATCTCTGACATATGTGCGGGTGTACACAAATACACAATATATTTTCCATTCCTTTCAGATCTTGGTAGAAAGCACAGAAGGTCTCAATGAGGGGGTCTCTTGGGTCATCCACAGAGGAGAGTAATAGAAATACTACTAAAAACTTCCCTCTTGGCAATATATCTTCATGTGTAAGAAATGAAATCAATTTCCTGACTTCAGATGCTTTTTCTCTTTGCCAGGAACTTGGATCTAAGGGTTTATATTTTTCACTGTCAAGGTCCAACCTGCCATTGCAGAAAATCCAGCTGGGTTGTTGATAAAGATTCAGACTGGAAATCTTCTCAATTGGTGTGGTTTTCCCCTCCACATACAGACTTGGCAAGTGAAGGTTTGCTACTCGGCTTTCTTTGTAAGCTCTGACTATTCCTTCGCTCACAGATTCAGGATCAAACTCCAGTACAGCAAACCATTTAATTTCTTTTAGGAAATCTAAGTGTTTTATTTGATTTGAGTGGCATTTATTTGTTACAAGAATGTACCATTCATAGTATGAATTATCTAACAAATCCTGATTTCCTGTCAGCAATTGAACAAGCTTTGGTCCATCAGTCTCTTTTTTACTTGTTTTTACTCTACATTTTCCTTCTGCTTCTGCTTCTTTCCTAGCGTCTGCTAGTCTTTTTAAATCTAATTTAAATGCTCTGAACTCTGCATTATTTTTTATGATGTCTTTAGAGTTGGCCCCATCTCGCACAAAGACTGAGAATTTTGGTCTTTGTTCCCATATTTTGTTGTTGTAATTTTGCATTTTAATCTGAAAATAATCATGTTCACATTCAGAGTGTTTTGGAATAACATCCACTTCAATAACAAATCTGTCAGATGGAATACTGTTTTGCTGTAAAACTTCTACAAATCTTGGCTCGCGAATGCAGTTCTTTGCTTTTGGGACTTGATGGTCTTCAAAATACTGGTGGATCATCAGATTGAAGTGATCAATGAGGGCTTCCTTGGTGACATTGGTGAATTTCACGCCAACAATTTTTCCATGGGGTTTGTCTTTGACTCCAAAATGAATGGTGCCATTGGTTCGTGAATTCATACAAGCTGAAGCAAATCGGAAGACTTCATTGCTAAATTTCATCTTAATATCTTCTTCTGCGGCTGTGTTTGTATTTGTGAAAGCTTTGAATTCATGTACTGGGTCAATGAGATTGAGTGGTCCTGTTTCAGGCTGTAGACAAAAATTCAATTTGTAACGATATGGATCACTGAATTCATCAAAAGGGTATGATGCACATGTCAGTTCCATGGATGGCTTATTTTCCTTTGTGTCTTCTATTTCATCTTCCATGTATTCATTTTTTAGTGACTTAGAACCTTTAGTAATTGTATTTATTGTAGAGGCATTAGCCATATCTGATTTCTCTTTATCCTCTTGTTTTTGCTTTGAAGTTTTTCCATTTTCCTCTTGCATCAAAGTTTGTGTTTTAGGAACATTTTTACTACCTTTTTTCCTCTTACATGTCTGAATAGGATCTTCGGAGGATGTTTTCTGCAGTTCTTTGAATAGACATTCTATTTGGATAGCTGGTCCGTGTGTTAGGCCCATATCGATGAGGTCAGTTTTAGTTAACCACTTCAAGACTGTTCCATTCACATCTTGTGCAGTCAAGATTTCCCTGTGTTTTTGGTCAATTTTTTGACTTTCTAACCAGCAATTTACATCCTCTTTTGTCCACTCATCTGTGTTTTTTGGTAGGTTCCATTGCTCTGCCATTCTGATACCTGTATACCAAAAAAAAAAGTAATCGATAGTTTTATAAGTAAAATTTTAGATAATAAACTAATTTATAATGGGTTATATATGTCTTATACACTTTTAGTTTTCTTCGTTAATGGTTTTTGCTATATTATTTTAAAATATTCAGTTCTGCTATAGAAAATAAGATAAACAAAGGAAGATATATGAAACTAAATAGAGAAGGATGTATGAAACAAGGAAGATATATGAAAGTAAGTATAGAAGCAAGTAGTTTGTGAATCATGTTATGGTAGGGGTAGATTAAGTAGGTGATGTGCCTGTTAAACATAGGAAGGGAATAGAAGGGCCATTAGGTGTTAAATATTCATGAAACAGTTGAAGCACTTGATATTATTAAGGTCATAATTGGGTCACCTGTTAATGACACTCATTCTGATCTTTTGTGCCCTCTGCTCAAGAAACATAAATAAAATTCAGTGTAGCTTATTAGGCTTATTGATAAGCTATAACTGTGATCAGACATATGTGCCCCTCTTCACCTCTCTGATTAGAGCAAGTGTATGCTACTTAACCAGGACATATTCTATCTGTCGATCCCCCTTGGACAGACTTCAAAGTGTGTTACCTATCTTTTTCTCTCTGCTCTTTGTTTTGTATGTTTTAATTGATTTAATAAGACATGTGCCTTAAGCATCTTAATTCAATGTGTGAGTCATTCTTTTCTAAGACTTCTAGGATAGCTTGCTGGATAGTGAACTCTGAGGCTACTGTTATATTAAACTAATTTTTCATATAATAATTGATAATAGCTGATACCCGGACAGTAAAAAAAAAAATGGCATTACTGTTTGGCCTGTAAATTGTCACACTACTGCCTGGAAAATTAATGTCAGTCTGGGTTACAGAAATAGCAATGGTTAGAAAAAACAAAATCCAAATAATAATAGCTTTAAGTACAATTCAGAAATGGCTCCAAAATGTACATCATTCCAATGACTTCTTCATGGAGAAATCAAATTAACAGAGGAGATAAGCCTAGGGAATTATAACAGACTGCATAGGCCCACTTGTATAAAGTAATTCACAGGGATATTTCTTCCCATTGGTAGATACAAATTCAGGATTAGGATTTCCCTTCCCTTCCAGACATAAAGAAGCCAGAGCAATGGTCTAAGGTTAAAGCTGTTATTTTTTTATTATTTTACTATTTATTATTTTATTATTAGTAACTCCTATATGCATAGAAAGTGAATAAAAAGCCATATTTTACAGATACATTAATAAAAAATAAGTAAAAATAAACAATTGGTGGAAATTTTACTCTCTTACAACACTGTGACAATGAGAAACGTAGAACATTTAATGCCTCCTACAAAATGAATTAGATTTAGTTTCTTTCAGTAATATGACCTATAGAGATCAAGAAGCTTAAATTTAAAGTGATCTGGGAAGAAAAAAGAGTGGAGGGGGTAAAATTGCTTTAGGTGTACCAGTCTTTAAAGTAAGCCATTTTCAGAAGTGCTGGCAACATTTTCCTGTGTTGGGCTCTCTCTCCACCCATCCAGCAGGCACAAGCAGGCACCAAATCTGAATGCTTTTTAAACTTGGCTAACACCATTTGCCCCACCCTGGTGATTCCCTCAGACCCTCTCCCACACAGTTTGTGATCAGCAAGAACCTCTTTCAGTGATGAACCTCTGCTCAACTTGTCCTGCGGACTTTCCTGAAATCTTTCAAAGGTTCACAAATGCCAGACAAGCAGTGTCTGTCCTTGGTGTGCCCCTTACCTCTTGCTAAGTGGCTGTAAGCCACTGGCCTTGGTTAACAGCTGAGCTTCTTTCAGGTGCCTCCAAGCCTAGCACAGGTGGCAATGACCTGCAAATCACATTATAGCTCCTACCAGATGGCCTCAGGCAGGGCACAGGCAGTAGCTGACCTTGCCTGCACCAGAGCCCCCTCCCAGGAGGCCATATCCATTGGTGGGCTCCAAGCCACAATGGAGCACCCAACCAGCAACACAAATGACACACTCGAACGGTGGTAGGCACCAGAGCCCTGCTAAAACAAATTCCTCTTTGAGGGGTCAGCCTGTGCACAGCACCTTGTCTGCTGTAGTCACAGCCATTTCTCACAATCAGTAAGCCTGAGGGTGAATCTCTCCCACTGATGTTGCAACAGCAATCGAGTCTCAGCTACAACTGGAGGGTACACACAGCCCACACAAAGGACACACCTGGAGCACTCAGCTCAGGTGACCAGGGAGACTGTGTCACTGGGCCCCATAGAAGACCTACTACATAAGGCCATTCTACCAAGACCAGGAGACATAGAAGAACTACTTAATACATAGAAAAAACATAGGGAGGCAGCCAAAATGAAGAGACAAGGAAATATGACCTAAATGAAAGAACAGGACAAAACCACAGGAAAAGAATTCAATGAAATGGAGACAAGCAATCTACCAGGTGCAGAGTTTAAAACACTGGTTATAAGGATTCTCAATGAACTTAAGTTATATAAATGTAATTACTATGTTGTATACCTGAAACTAATATAATATAGTATGTCAACTACAATCGAAAAATTTTTAAAAATTAAGGAAAAATAAAAAGAGTGGGCTAGAGGAGCATGTTGTCAACAGTTGCTTTTAGGTACCTGATGATTACTCTCTCACAGCTGTAGATCAAAATAAAAGGGGATCCACATGACAGTATGTTTATGACAGGGATACTCAATGTGATGTGACCTTTTAAAAGGAAAAAGCTATATATCACATTCAAACTTTGGAGATAATTAGCCTGAGATTGGCTGAAATTCCAATACTAAGCTGAGAGACTTATTAAACAAAGTTTGGAAGAAAAGAATAAATAAGGTAAGCCCCTTTTGTGGGACTACACAAAACTACATCAAAGGTCACAATTATCAGAATGAAAAGGCAAGCTATGGAATGAGAGAATATATTTGTGAATTATATAACTGGTAATATCCATAATATAGTAAAAACTCCAACAACTCTACAACAACAAAAGAAATAACCCAATGTAAAACTGAGCAATGGATTTGAATAGACATTTCTCCAAAGATGATATACAATGACCCACAAACAAGATGCTCAACATCACTAATCATAAGAGGAAAGCAAACAAAAACCACAATGATGTATCATTTCACATCTGTTATAACTACTAAAAAAAAAAAACTACCTTGAAAATAACAAGTATTGGCACAGATGTGGAGAAATAGGAAGGAACTCTTGTGCATTGTTAGTGAGAATGTAAAGTGGTGCAACCTACATGACCTACTCTAAAATGATGGTTAAAGTTCTCTAAACAGAAAGGGAATGGTAAGAAAAGGAACCTTGGAACATTAGGAAGAGAAAAATAACATGGTAAGCAAAAATACTGGTAAATATTGATTTTCTAAATTATGTTTGATTGTTAAAGTACTATCTGATATGGGTTTGAATATATGTAGTGGAAATACTTAAAATAAATATATCATAAGTGGATAGGGTAAGGGGATATATGGGAAGAAAGATTTCTACACTTTGCTCAAATACAACAACACACTTAGGCTGTCATAAATTATGAATATATAATGTAACATCTAGAGCATCTGTTAGAAAAAGCTGTACAAAATGATACACAAAAAAAACTGCAGATAAAAGTGGAATTGTAAAAAAATTTCAAATAATGAATAGGAAGTCAGGAAACTAAGACAGAGAAATTAAAAACAGAGAACAAACAGAAACAAAAAATAAAATGGTAGATATAAGTATTAATATATCAATAACCACATTAAATATAAATAGCCTAAATGCAGAAATTAAAATATAGAATTGTTAGACTGGATTAAAAACATGACATAAGTATACCTCATCTATAAGACACTCCCTTGAAGTAGAATAATAGGTAGGTTGAGAGTAAAAGTATGGATAAAGGTATATAATAAAAATTTTAATTAATAAGTACAGGAGTTGCTATGTCAGATAAAGTAGACTTCAGAGCAAAGAAAATTACCAGAGACTGAGTAATGTTATATTATGATAAAAGGGTCAATCCAAAAAGGTAACACAGCAATCCTAAAAGTGTATGCTTTAAACCAGAATTTGCAAAATATTTAATCGCTGAGAGAACTTTTCAGTTTCAGACTAATCTAATTACAGTTTGCTATTTCAACACATTTCTTTTAGCAATCGGTAGAAGAACTAGACAGAATATTAGTGAGGACATATATAGAAGAATTCAACACCATCAACTAACAGATTTCAAACCACAGACACTCTATCCAACAACAGCAGAATAGCATTCTTTTTAAGTGCCTATGATAGACCATATCCTAAATGATAAAACAAACTTCAACAAATTTAAAAGAATTGAAATCATGCAGAATATATTTGCCAACCACAATGGAATCTTATAAGAAATTAATAACAGAAAGGTAAGAGGAAAACACTAAAAGCACACATTTCTAAATAATTCATGGACCCAAAAAAAGTCTCAGGTAAAATAAAAAAATACACTGCAGTGACTGGAAATGAATATACAATATATAAAAATTTATGAGACACAGTCAAAGCAGTATTAAAAGGAAAATTTATAGCAATAAATGCATATATTAGAAAAGAAGAAAATTTCAAAATAATAAGCTCTTGCCACAAAGACCTAGAAAAATTTGAAAAAGAAGAGCAAAATAAGCCAAAAACAAGCAGAAAGAAATAATAAAGACTAGAAATCAATTAAGTTGAAAACAAATATAATGGAGAAAGTTATATAATAAAATGAAACAAAGATCTGTTTCCTTGAAAAGATCAGTAAAGTTGACAAACTCCTAGCAAGACTGAAAAAGATAAAAAAGAAGACACATTTACCAATATCATTTGACTTTGGGTGGTGAATATACAATGCAGTATACAGAGAATGTATTATTGAATTGTACACTTGAAACCTACATAATTTCATTAACCAGTGTCACCTCAATAAATTTAATTAAAGAACTGAAACAGTGGATATCATTTTGAAACTTTTAGACTTAAAATGGACAATAAAGGAATATTATTCACACATAAATTTGACAACCCAAATGAAACGGACCAATTCCTCAAAAAAAAAAAACAAACCAATCTTCCACAACTCACTCAATATGAAATGAAATGAGTATCTTGAAGAGATCTCTGCACTGCTATATTTACTATAGCATTTTCACATATGGAAACAATCTAAGCATCCATCAAAAGATGAATAGATAAAGAAGATGTGATATGTATATACACACAGTGTAGTATACAATGTGGTACACACACACATGTATATATAATGGAATATTACTTAACCATGAGAAAGAAGGAAGTCTGCCATGAAGGATATTATGTTAAGTGAAATAAGAAAAAGAGAAAGACAAATACTGTATGATCTCATTTATACGTAGAATCTAAAGAAAAAAAAGTGAAATTTATAGAACAGTGGATTCCAGGGGCTGAAGGGGGAAGGGGCAGGTAGATGTTGATCAAACTATACAAATTTGCAGTTATGTAAGATGAATGTCTAGACATCTGATGTACAAGCTTGAGGACTAACCTTGGCCTACCGGGAGGAAAAGAAACTAGTGGGGCTTTTGATAGTCACATGGATGGATGTGATGAATTGGAATCTAGAAGTGCTCCAAAATCTTTAACCGTCATGGAAGTGCAAAGTATAACTACAGTGAGATAATACTACATACCTAGCAAAATGACTAAAATTAAAGCCTGGTAATACCAAATGTTGATGATGAGGTGGAGTCCATAGAACACTCATACATTTCTGGTGAAATTATAAATTGTTTCAGCCAAAACTATTTGATAGTTTTAATTACGTTAAATGTGCCTGTAACAATAGAAAACATATTGTAGGATTTCATTTATATGGAGTTCAAGAACAGACAAATTAATCTATTGTAGTAGAAGTCAGAATAGTGGTTACCTTTTGGTAGGAAGATATTTTCTGGGAAGTGGAACGAGGAAAACTAATGGTGTGATAAAAATATTTTGTGAAAACAAATAAAAGAAACCTTATTCAAAATGGAGCTGGGAAGCCATGAAGGGAGAGTTCTCAAGCACTTGTTTTTTATAACAAACAAGAAGAAGGAAGATTTCTTCCCTGCTGACTCATACTGAGATCAACAATAGCAACTGCCTTCCACTTGCTGCCAATAAGAAACTGCCACGACCTGGTACTCTTGTTCCCCACCAATGGGCTCCTGTTAAAACAGCCCTCCCCAATATCCTCCAAGAATCCCCCCCATAAGCTGACCTCCCTTTGTCTCTTTTGACTTGCCTATGGCTTGCTATAGTTTGCATGTCCCAAATTGCAATTCCTCTGCTATATCCAAATAAAGTGATTTGCTGCTCAATAACCTTTGTTCAATTTTTTTTGTTCAATTTTTAAGATTGATAATTTGATCTCATCAGTGGTTATGCTGATGAACACATAACAATCTCATAGAAGTGTACCCTTAAAATTTATTCATTTCATATAAATTATACTTTATTTAAAAAGCCAATGATACCTTCAAAATACATGATAAACAAATGAATGAAATAAAAGAGGTACTCGCATAGAAAAAGATGACAGTATGTTACCAAATAAAGATAATTCAATTCTGGGCATCTGAAGTCCTAAAGTTTTACTAGAGATTTATTATTGCAGCCTCAGATTATGGGAATAGCTTGTTTTTACAAGCCACCATTGATTCATACTGGTTTTATAGTTGTCTAAAACTTGATCCCACCCTCCTTTAATAACTACTATCTGAGTCATTTCCATGTGTCCATTTGCTAAGCCTCATCTACTCTACTCTATAAAAGTACAGCTCACTTCGGTTGCACCAACAGTATTGTAACACTTAAAGCAGGGGGTACCTGGATCCTTCTGCTCCTGGCAGGATTCAGGCTCCTGAGTCCTCATACCTAGAATTCTTATGCCCTATCTCTTGCCCCATCCTACCAGTGTAGTTCTCCCAGAGTCTCCCTGACATTGTCACAGTTTTACAAACTCAGCCCTTGTCTCCTAAATGATACCTCAAAAATCAGATTATGAGACTGAGTGGTGAATTATTTCATTTATGCATGAGCTGCATACCATATACATATAATACAAACATAAAGCCAGGTGGATGGGGACCTGGGCCTGAAAGTTTGTTTGGGAGTGTGAGCAAATAAAAAAGGACTGACTTTTGACTGTATTCTCTAAATAGAGAAAATATCTTTAAATTATGGTTGAATAGCTTGCACTTTACATTGCTTCCTTTAAAGCCTTTATCCGAGACTTGTTGGCTGTGCCTTTCAAAACGTACTTTAAAAAAACTGTTGAAGATGATACTCTTGGAGAATATATGCTAGAGAAATGATTTCTATTTAACATCTGTGCTTTGCCCATTTATGCTACTGTTCAGAAATATTTCACATATTTCTTTATACCCTCCCTTGTTCCAGAATAGTTTTCAGAAAGTGATCCTGGATCATACATATATGAAAACCCTTGGGTAAAGAAATCGGGGGGAAGGCTAATTAAGGGGAAGGAAGCTAGGAGGGGGTTAGGCCATGGAGTAAAGTTAGTGCCTAAAATAACTATTTTCAATTTCATATACTATACTAGAAGCGGCCTAAAATTTTGGTTCTGAGCATCTTAGCAACCAGTATAAAAAAGAAAACAATTTGTTACACAATCGAACCCACATATATTTATTAACTGTAGGGTTAAATGTAAGGTTCGTTAGCTTTTCTAAAAAGAGTTGCAGATCAGGTATTACCTTGGAGGCAGTCAGATTTTAACCCAGGTATTTAGCAGAAGCATATAGCTGCCATAATTTCAAGGACTTCCTGTAGCAGCCTGTCTGTCTCTCTCTGCCTTTGTCTCTACCACTGTCTCTTTTTTTGTCTCTCTGTCTCAGATCTGTCTGTCTCTATATATCATCTGACACTAATGTCTGAGAAGCTACCGGGGAGTTTTATTTTCCGGCAGCCACCTACTTCTTAGAGTAGGTGGTGGAAGGTATCTTTAATTAATGTAAAGTACATCTTTAAATTTTCATTATATGTTCTTTCTGAAGATGCTGCAGATTCCTTGGGGGATTTCATTAATAAAAGCGCCTTTAGTTTACGATGGCATCTTTTATTGGAATGTTATGACTCATTTTTCAACTATTATAAAGCAGATTCCTGTCACAGCAATGAATAGAATTTCTAAGCTTAAAAATATTATTTTTGGTTTTGGGGTATATTTCAATTTTCTAATTGAAAAGATTCCTTCCTATTCAATAACACGCTATAGGTAGTAATAATATTAATAATAAATATTGTACTTACTCAGATTGTCTTTCAAATTTCTTCTGCATAAATAAAGAGAAAACCATGTATTTTGGTGCAGAAAACATCTAACGTCTGTATTTTCTTCCTTCAGCGATGTTAGAGACAACCATTTCCTTTCTTTTTCTGTGGAAGTTTATTCTCTGCTTTACCTCAGTCTGAGCTTGAACTGGCTCAGAAACAACAGGGTGTGTCTCAGAAATGGCTGTGTTGAAAACTAGCAAGTCGGGGAAAGGTAGCCCGTTTTCAGTTTCGTTTCCTAGACTTGAATTTATAGAAATGACTGTTCTCTCTGAAATGCTTTTTTTTCCCTCCCCCAGTAAGCCCTTACTCTGCCACCTTCTGGTCTGTTTGGTTAAAATCCAGAGATTTCAAATCTGTTCTTTGCTTGAGAGTTTTGAGGACTGCCAAGAGCCCTGTCGTCTTAGCTACAGAAAAGCTCTGGGATATTCTGAGTAGATCCCTTGTGAACACTGGTTTTCACTGCTATTGGGAGCAGTATGAAGCAGCTTATTGTGGTATTTCACTGGCCTTCCAAGGTCGACTAACCATCCATCTCTGTTTTCCTAAAGTATAAAGTAATGGCCTTCAGAGACTCTTCTGAGCTCTCCACGAATGCTCAAGGCTCCTGGGTTAGTTCTGTAGGACAGACTAGGGTTACAGCCTCCCCATGGCCACAGTGCAGGGATTTATCTTTTTTAAGGTCAGTCTCAAGGCCAGGTAGAGAACTGTCTAAGTGAGAGCCACACAAATAGTTAACATTAAAAAAAAAAAATTAACAGTAAATGCTAACACTTATTGCGTGTGCTCATATAGCTTTTGGTTTTCACATTCCTCTGTTGATTCACACAGGTTTTTGAATGTTTATTAGGCATTTATTATGTACCAGGCGCTGTTGTAGGTACCTTATATTAACTTATTTACTCTTCATAACAGCCCTCTGAGGTAGATGCTTTATTATCTCCATTTTACAGCTGGAGAAACTGAAACACAAAGACATTAAATAATGTGACTATGTATGTTTAAGTGTTTACATGTATGTATATAAACGTGTATATGTATATACACACATATCTCTCTATATATATACTTTATTGGTTCTGTTTTTTGGAGAACCCTGACTAATTTGACCAGGGAACAAATGGCTTGGCAAACCGAAGTAACCCACACCCTAATCGAGATATAGAACATTTCTGTTATGGCATATCTCCCCTGTCCCTCATCACTCCTAACTACCCCTAGAGGAAACCACTCCTCTGATTTTTTTTTCACAGTAAATTACTTTGACCTGATCTAGACGTTCATATATATGGAATTGTATAGTATGTTCTCTTCTGTGGTATTTCTGTGCCTTCTTTTATTCAACATAATGTAATTGAGATTGGTTTTAGTGTTGCATGTATCAGTAGTTCATTTATTTTTAATGCTGAATAGTACTCTGTTTTGTTAGTATGACACAATTTATCTAATTTCCTTTAAATGGACATTGGAGTTATTTCCATTTTTGGCAGTCATACATGAAGCTGCTATGACTATTTTTGTACAAGTCTTTTTGCGGACATATGTTTTCATTTCTCTTAGGTAAATACCTTGGCATGGAATTGCTAGATTAAATAGGTGTGTGTTTAGCTCCATAAAACAATGTTGAGGCTTTGTTGAAATTTGTACGAGAAGCAATACTCTTTAAGGCGTGGTGGGTCTCTGTGTCAGGCCACTGTATAAGTCAAAATGAAATAGGAACTGGGTTTCATCTTACTTTGCCATTTTAGAAATAAAGAAATTGTGATACTCAGCACATCAGTATCAAGAATCTGAGGCTGCCAGGCGTTACAATTTTATACCCCTCCACCCACATCTAAGAGTAACAGGTAATATAGTTTAATTGGTACCCACGATACCTGCCCTGGTGTTAGAATGTCTAGTATGGTCTCACTGTCTTAGGAGTGGTCAGACATGGCAGCCATGAATAAATACTTATATTTTTACAATATCTGTAAGGAACATCATTTCAGAACTCTCAAGATGAGCCAGCAAAATGAATCTGTTTTATACATATTGAGGGGCAGTTAGAAATCTGATACATTTGGTTGAAAGAACAAGGTAAAATGACATTACGAGGGTAACATATGGATATTGTATTCTACCAGACAGATCTTGCTCCTTTGCACACAATTGAGATAGCTTTTAAATAATAGCAGACGTCATGGGCATTTCCTATGAACTCTGTAGCTATTACTAATTTTTCTTTCAGAATGGATCTATAGATTGTATTCCATGACTCACTTTGAATGCTGCTTTCCATTTTTCTAAGACTGTGAGAACAAGTTGGATCTTCCTGTGGCTATTTATGCCCAATACACATCTTCAGTCTTTATAACACAAGGCTCCTGGAAGAGCTGACTTTCTTCAGGAACTGGCTCGTGCCCTGTGAGCGTCAGATGTGACATTGTCAGCATCTGGAAGGCCCAGCTGTCCCACAGGGATTAGGAATGTTTGGAAAACAGTCTATATTCTACAGAATATATATATTTTTAAAAAGATTAGTTACTCAGAGCATTTAGGTATGCTTTATTTACCCAAGGGTTATTCAGCTTTAAGCAGAGACCTTTGACTTTTGACTTCCCTTTAAAAATTTATTCCTTCTTGTTACATTTCTCTTTGTTAAGAGTCTGGTAACCTTAAGTACTAGTCACATGATTATAAATTCCACATTGGGTGTGTATTTATATCATAGGTATTTCTAAACTAGTATACCAGTTATCCCTTCAGAAGGATACCAAGCTTAATGTAAATTTAATTTTCTTGAATCCAGTCTCTTTGTTTACCTAGTCCTATGTTTTGAGAAATATTGAGAATATTGTTAATATGGGAAAATAGAATGATTGTTCCCAAGGGATTTGGTGATCTGAAGGGTCTGTATATATCCACCCTTCCTGAGTTATTATAATGTGACTTCACAATGCTCGGTAGAAGCCGACCATGTTTAAAGATATTCTGGCTCTTACATCACTCATACATGCTCAAGAATAATATTTTCTCTTTCAAATAAGAATGAAAAATAAAACATTTCAAATTGTTTGAAGAAATATCCTGGGGTATAATTTTTTCCCAGTTTATATTTAATTCCGGCGTGAGTATGAAGTAAAAAGTCTGTGGGTTTGTTTTTTGTTTTACTTTCATCTAACTGTCCGGTTCTCTATTTCCAATGTGAGGACTAGTTTTTTAACTATTGAAGAAATATTGTGTTTATTTAAAAATTATATAAGTTGATGTAATGTATCTTAACTGCATGTGAAGATGAGTATGGGAAAAGGGGTAAATGATATAGAACGAGAAAACTAGGGTTGTGTGGTTAGCGGAAGGGGCTTGAATTAGAGTACCAGAAAATAAGTTTTTTTAATTGAAGAGTGAAATGGAGTAACAAAGATAGCCAGTGTTTAAATTCAGGAAGACCTAAACAAGACTGGTAAAATACACTGATCTTAGATCAACAAAACAATATTCATTTAGTGCTTCATTAGAATAAGTTGCCTTTAATTACTGGATAAAAAAATGTGGTATATTCATGCAATGAAATTTTAGACAATAAAAAGGAATGAAATACTGGTGCATGATACAACATGGATGAACCTCGAAAACATTATGCAAAGTGAAAAAAGCCATTCACCAAAGACTACATGTTGTATGACTCCAATTATATGAAATGTCCGGAATAGGCAAATCCATAGAGACAGAGAGAAGATTAGTGGGTGCCAGCGGCTTGGGGAAAGGGGTAAATGGTGATTGACTGCTAATGGGTACAGAGTTTCTTTTTGGGTGATGGGAGTGTTCTGAAATTGATTGTGCTGATGGTTGCACAATGAGGATATACTAAAAAACCATTGAATTGTATACTTTAAATGGGAGAACTTTATGGTATGTGAATTATCTCAATAAAGATGTTTAAATTTGTCTTCTAATAAGAGCCTACTGAGTGTTGGACATGTAACTCGTGCTATCCAATTTAATCCTCATCAGATGCTTGCAAACAAAGTTTATTTTCCTCATCTTACAAATGAGAAAACCAGAGTTCTAACTTACTTGTGTACACTGACTTGGTGAATGACTGGCACAGTTAGGCTTGCATTGAAAGCCTGTCTATTTTCTAAGTGTGAACTTTTTCCAGTGGCTGTCTTCATTTACCCTGTTTCCAAATTATAAGACCTACTGAGATAACCGTTGTTGAGCTGTTATCAGCTGTGAGTTAATTTACCTGTGTGGGTAGAGCTGGTGATTTATGGACAGACTATGTGGAGCCCTGAACAGGAGTTATCAAGGAGATAACTTGAGGGCACTGAGTCCTCATAAATAGGGAGTTGAGGAATGAGGTGGTAGAATTAACATGTAGTATTACAAATACCCAATCCAACAATTTCTTTTTTGACTTTGTTTTCCCTGATGGCAACTTAGAAAAAAGAGAAAAGGGAGTGAGTTTGAAGAAAAGAATCAGTTAAAAACTATTGTTTTTATTTTTTAATGGACTTCCCTGAGTAGAAATTGGATCCCAATATTTTTGAAATATAGATGGTGAAAATGGGATAAACTAGATTTAAGCCTAAGTTTTTTTGTTTTTCTGTAGGTAAAACATGAATTCACCTTTGAAGGAAGACTAAGCACTTGTTTTAGGGAAAGCATTTTAATGGGCTCTTTGATTCTAGAAGATAAACCAAAGAATCTCTTCTGAAATGGAGAATTGAACTTCTCTGCATAATAATGTAGAACCTTGTCTTTTTTGTTGAGTGAGGTGATATCTCTGCATTTTCTATTTTTTTTTTTTTCAGAAAAAAACATAATTCTTTCTGAGGACGTTAGAGGGTTTGTAGCCTAATCTGTGAGTCAAGGATTCCTGTTTAGGGCTTGTCTCATCTGGGAGAGTTGAGCAAGGGCCACCCTACGACATGGTTGTTGAAAGAGGGGCTGAGACGAGAGAAGCCCCCTAAGGAACCTTATAGAGGAGCTGGGGCTATAAACTCTGAGGACAGTCATCAATAACAGAAACATGTAACAGTTTTTCTTCTTTCTGTTCTAACTTTTCAAAAATCTTAATTAAAGCCTTTAGTTAAATCTTGCTGAACACTGTAGCCCAGTCTTAGCTGAGCTGTGAAGGATTAAGGGACAGGCTTATGTCCAAAAGCCTATGAACCATTCGAGGAGTGCAGCCCCTGGGAAGAGCCTGCTACCAGATGGACAGGTGGGCTGCAGAAGAGGAAAGCAGCAGCTTGGAGCAGTATCGGCAGCAGATGAATAAGATAGCAAATTTTACAATAAATTGTTTCAAGTTTTTGTATAAAAAGAGAAAGTTTTCAGGGAACTCCTGGTAATTAACTGAATCAAACTTTATTTTTTATGCTTATGAGGAGACAACTATTGCCCAAAGAGTCGGTGAAAAGAACCCTGAGAGGGAAAAGGACATCTTTATGACAAGAGGAATTGGGTTTGAAGCCTGGAATGTCGAAGTTACTTCAGAAGAAGATATAGAGAAATGGATAAGCAAATATATATTTGTGAAGTATTCGATTTAATTTATGTTAGCATGTGTTTCACTTTATAGGCAATAGATAGCTCTTAAAATCCAAGCTCTAGAATGCTGTTTGAGGCTGTCCTGGCTGGTGTAAGTCTAGGAACAAGTTTCTGCGATGGCAT